GCTTGCTTTTTCTCCACATTGCGTCTTTGTGATATGATGCGCACTTTGAAATTTCTACCCAGACCATGAGAGAGGAAAAAAACAAAAAGGAGGAAGTGCTTGGTTTGTGACGGGAAACATGGCAGCGTGTGATTTCCCTCTCTGTGTAACAGTGAGTGTGACGTGACAAGGGACTTCCATTACATTCAACCGCTGTCACCCTCTGATACTTAGAGGTTTTTATCTTAAAGGTTTCTGTTTCTGAGAAACGCGTCCATAACAACACACAAAGAGTGTGACGGTGATATAGGAGCAGAGATAAATAACTGTAGAGGACATTAGGTAAACAATACATTTGAATTTAAACAATATTTACGTAATGGAAGCTGCATGCTAAATCATAGGTATGTTGTTCCTTATCAGTAACATGCTGAGCTCGATGAGCTTTTGCCTTTTCTTTGAAAGCACGTGAGCTGCATGTAAACATTTGAATGAGGAAGTGCTGTCGTCAAAGGGAAAACAGGCTGATGTGTGGTTTCACTTTAGTTGTCTGGCACTCATCTGTGCTAATATCTCTCTGTGCATTATGTCTTTTAGAGCTGTTGTCTGGCAATAAAGCACAGGCGGCCACGTATTGATTTCTTGGTGAGGCGGGGAACCGTCAGGAGCTGTAAATTCTGGAAGACATGTGTCCCAACAACACTGCTGCCCGAGCACTGACGGCAGTTTCACAGCAATTGAGGAGAGTGTGATGGCAGCTTAGAGGTGCGCAATGATCACAATGTCACTGTGATGAAGTGGCCATTTGAAGGGTCCCATGTGGAAATGAAGTTTACCTCAGTTCTGTGAATCATGCGCCCTGGTATTTCTGACTGGTGTGATTGGATGGACTGTCAGTCATCGTTAACCCTTTCAACACTAGATTAATGCACCTCTTTCATTCTTATCCACCCTAAGAGCTTAAATTTCTGTGAAGTGAGACGTGCTGTTATCTTATCCTCGATTTACAGTGGAAATTGCTGCAGTAACAGATTTAGTTTATCTATTTTCGGGTGCAGTTGTCATAAGCTTAAAGTCAGGATTTATAAACCAGTGATCGAGGCCTACTATCTAAACTTGATCTATTGGTAATGCCACAATCAGTGCATTCATTTTTATAGACACAAATATAAATGCCCCAATTCTTTATTCCCTGATTAACCTTATGTAAAATTAAATGAAAATTGTGTCACGCTCAATGACTTTAATGGTATAGAATTTCAAAGGAATTTATGTCGAGTGGGCCTCGTTGACTCATCATCCGAAAGGTCAAAACCATACTTTATGGGAGTGATCTCTTCATAACCATAGCAATACCAAGTAGTTTTCATGCCTGATGCCATCAATAAGACATAAAAGGAAACAGAAAATGAGTCAAAACATAAATTTGGCTCGGCTGACAAAGCCCTGAGACATTCAAATAGAGACTTCTGACTTGTTGAATGTTACAAACAATTCACAACAGTTTGACGAGGAATGTGGGGTATTGTCAAAATTGTGTTGCCAATTACTGCGTGCATGGGCTAGACATGCTGAATTTCAGGAATTTTATACTGTGTAGAAGGTTTAGACGCATTAAGGTGATGTAAATGTTCCTTGTGAACAGTCATATCATTCCTCAGACTTTTCTCTTTATTTGTTTTAGAAACCTGCTCACATGCAAGAAGGTAAAATGAACCAACAAAGAGAAGGTGCTGACCTTTGGCAGGCTTCTAAGTAACAGCCAGTTAGAAGAAATTTTAAATTTCTTGTTTCAAGAGAGGTGTTACATTACATAACAGGAATAGGTAGAAAATTAATGAATAAACTGATCTTTTTTAATAAAGAAAATAAGGTTGTTCTATTTTCTAACTTTTCAATATGGTTTCACACTAGCTTGGTTTACGTTCTTTGTTTGTATTGCAGCTCAAACATCAAAATATTTCCCGCCACCATCTTGTGCTTTAGGAACTTTTTCACCGTGTGTTTGACTACACGAAAAACAAGCAGTCGATCAATGGCTCTTAATACTACATCTGCAGAGGCTTTATTGTTTGTATTTAATTTTGTGCCAAACTTAAAGGTACCCCTTTAGCAGTAGCCTTTCTTTTCATGCTCTATCAGGAAATCAATAACATTATGTCGGAGGGAAGTCTGTAGCACATCACACCAATGAATAAAACATAGAAAACGCGTCCTCAGAGAGACAACCTAGAGTGCATTAGTCAAACAACCATGTGACATTGCCAAGCAAACAAAACCCAAACTGGCAGCTTTTCTTGCCCTAAAGCTAAAGACACATCGACTCATACAGAGGAACCATAAGACAAAACACACGTACTGTATGCAGAAGAGGACAGCCCAAACATAGCACTTGTTTGTTAGTGAATGAATGGAGGCATTGAAAATTGAATGTATCTTGTCACAGTCTTGTGGTGACATAGGAAGACAGCATAGACAAGATGCTGGATTTGTGAATCGTGCCTGTCTCAGAGCTGAACAGCAGATATGCATGAATGGGTCCTTGCCACTTACTTCAGAGTATCTCGAAGGTAAAGGGGGAATATGTTACTACAACAGTGGCCTTTGTGTGAACTATCCTTTGCATGTAAGAAAAAAAGGAAGAAAAACACACTCAAAAGTGAATGTTATTTCTTTGAAGTTTCTCAAAAATGGGCACATCGCCTTTGCACACGTCATTTTAATTGGGGGGCAGAGGAAGAAACTACACTGACCTCTCTTTTAATGGGCAGCTGATGATGTCATATCACTACACAGATTCTTTAGTCTCCAAGTAAACCAGCTCCTCTACATGCTGATTGGTTGACCGTCTGTGAGAGGGGGGAGGGTATTTTTCTTTCCCTCTTGCCTCTGGATTAATCCCTGTGCCTGAGTGAGCTCATCTCTTCTTTCTTTCTTTTTTCTCCTCTCTCCGGTAACTTTGATAATTGTTCATGATGTCCGGCACATAATTGCATATTAAACTGGATCATTTAGAGAAGTCTATTGTCATGAGTAGAAAATGACATGTGTACTTTGAGTAATCTTTTTACAGTTTTTCTTGATTGTTTACACACAAATATTGGTACTTGAAACACAATGACCACAAAATGTAACTCATGCACCAACCCCCTGAACCAATTCTGCTAAACTACAAGCACAATTCCTGCTTTACACTCAAATTGCAGTTCTAAAACACACTTTTTCCAAAACTCTACACACAATTGTCATGAAGAAAATCTTTTGTTTTCACAAGGAACACACTGTTATTCAAAACTCTAAAGTTAATTTCCCTACTATGCACACTGACTCCTCACATGGGCAAACACCTAACACACATGTTTCCACACAGCAGTCAGAGCTTTAGCATAAAAGGGCAACAGGTGAGCTCTTCTGTTTTGGAGCAATGGAGGTTGTAAACAGAGGCAGAGCCAGAGCCAGAGGAGTGAGAGTAAGAGGAGGACGATGGGGAGGACGAGGACGAGGAAGGCCAAGGACAATCATTTCTGATGAGATCCGAGCCACTTTGGTTGACCATGTGGTCAACCATGGCCTAACAATGAGGGAGGCTGGGCAAAGAGTACAGCCAAATTTGAGCAGGTACACTGTAGCATCCATCATCCGGACTTTCCGCAATGAGAATAGGTAAGAAATCTACTCTCACTACAAAACTGCAGTACTGCATATCAATACAGTACTCAATGAGTACAGTAGTACAGTATTACCTGTGGACTGTTCTGTAGGACATTGTGTTTAGAGTATTTGGGAAATGTATTCCTACACAGTATTTACAGTATTGCACTCTTTGTATTGCAGAACTGAAAGATTACCAACAAGAGGTGGACGGGGCCGTCTTCTGTCTCCTGAACAGGAAACAGAGATCATGAACATGGTTCTTGAAAATAACGCCATTACCTTACGGCAAATACAAAGAAAAACAATAGAAAACAATGAGATATTTCAAAATATTGATAGGGTAAGTTTATCAACGCTGGACCGTGTCTTGCACAGAAATAAACTGAGGATGAAGCAGGTCTACAGGGTGCCATTTGAGCGCAATTCAGAAAGAGTCAAAGAATTGCGATATAACTATGTGCAAGTACGTCCTATACATTCCCACCCTTGATGCATACTGTCAACATTGTATAAATCATACATATTTCTTTCTATTATATTGTAATCATAATGATTGTGCTTCACAATGGTGACCGCTCCATGTCTACTTCTGATATTGTCATGTGTGTTTCAGAGAGTCCTTGAGCTGGAGGTGGATGCAGTGGAGCACCAGTTCGGTTGGGATGTACACTGTGTACATTGTTTTGTGGGGAAAAATAAAACATGTTTGTTACAGTATATTTGTGTGTTCTGAGTATAAAAACAATATTCTAAAATATTTTACAACGCACTTATGTATTTAATGTCTGTAGTAAGTGTAACACTGAACAAAAAGTCATTATGATGAATGGAGAATGGTGTTTTACACTGAGCACATCAGTGTTTAAATGCTTTTTTAATTGTCTGTTCATATGATAGTTTGTGTGTGTCATCTGAACACAAAATGGCCTTTTGTGAAGAGATAAAACTGTTTTGAATGTAAAGTTTCATTTTGCAGGAGAATTGAAGGGTTTTGCCCATTGTGTGTGTGTTTGTTGGATTTGTGTGTAGAGTTCTGAGAATACGAGGCATGTTTTCAGAAAATGTGTGTAAACAATCCAGAAAAACTGTAACACAACACAGACATGCCAAATTCCTATTCTTGGGTTTAAATCCAATAAATTTGTTTCTTGGACGCTTTCTTTGTTTTATGTGTTTTCCTCAAGAGCCGTTTTACTGATTAAGTCTGGTCCGTCCTTATTTTCCAGGCAGTGATGAGCAGTGTCCTGAACTCTTCCCTGCACTGGTTGCCCTCTGCAGTGAAACCCAACGCCGTGCACCTCCATGGCGCTCATGTCTGGGGCCACAGGTGACCAGCTGTCTGCCTGTGTTCCTCTCCTCTGGGACAGCTGGAGCCATCAATCAGCTCCCCCCCCCGAGCCCTGCTGTGTCCGTCTGCCCGGCCCGAGCAGCGCAACAACAACGCCGGACAGCCTTATCTGTCAGGGGAACGCATGAATGGGAATTTGGACTCGTCCCCCGACTTCCACGGCAAGCCGTTCAAAGCTCAGTGGACGTTCTCGTGCGGTGACAGCTTTTTGAATCCTGCGTATCCATCGATGACTTTGGCATTCCACTCCAGTGCCTCAGTATTTATCTAAGAAGTAGTTTTATGATTCCTCAGATGGCCATAAACGGATACATTGTCGAGGCCACTTTACACAGCACGTGCAGTCACAGGCCCGTCTCCCTCCGCAGATGGAAAACATTGAAGCCCATTATTGTGCTCTTGGAGGGGCGTCTTCCACCATGAACTCTTTGGCACACTTTTAAAGAAAGTGGCCTTAATGTATTCAGGCCTGATTCGCAGTGGCTTTGGCACTACCATCCCCCCATCCTGCACTCACCCACCAAACACACACTGCTCTTTCCTCAAAGAGACGGGTAAACATGTGTGAGTCGCAGTGTTCTCTGGAACTTTTTCTTGTTTATCAGAAAGGGAATTGATGCGCCTGACAGCGAGCTTCAAAGGGCGTCACAAAAAGCATGACTTCTACCACCAAGACATTTCCTGTTTATCGAATGAGAACCTCACGGAGGACACTTCATTTAAGACCCAAACACTCACAAACACAAGACAACTTCATACTTGCCCACATTTTCTCGTTACGTAATGCGCATCTGTCCGAGCAGCGTTGTTGAACTTGTGTCAGTGATCTTATGTTTGCCAACTCGGCTGCTATTTTTAGACTTTGCACTGAGGTGAACCACAGAACCGGCAGAGCGACTGAGATTGTCTCAGAGCTCTCAGGGACAGAGGGCTAATTGTTGAGGTCGGTGATTATTAGGGTACTTTTTTTTTTTTTTGTGAAGAGAGCAGAATTCCTCAGTAATCGCTGTGACCGCTGCTGCTGTTCATGTGACCGTCGGTCTCCTCCTCTGGGCCGTGGATGGCTCATTGTTGTGACTTAAAGAGTTGCCGGGCGACAGGGAAGCGAGCTGGGTGGAGTCTGTCTGGACACCCAGACTTCCAGGCTCTGGCTGGAGCATTCACAAACCCTCACCTGCTCCATTGCACACCTTGTACACGTGAAAGCAGAATCATTCACGCGGACAGTGTCATTATCAGCACATGCAATGTCATCCAACGTAGCGGATAATGGTTACTCACATACTTCCTTATTCTTTTACCGTAATTTCAGTCACCCACTTAAGAATAAACATGATGTTGCTGAAACACGTGTGTGTGTATATATATATATATATATATATATATAAATATATTTTTTTTTTTTTTAAGTAGTAAGTGAGGAGCCTGGAAAAGCAGCAGAAAGTATATCTTATTTTCTTGCCTTATACATGAATACTTGACAACTTTCTTGGATTTTTTACTCGATTCATTCCTGTTCTATTGTAGAACATGCAGACAATCGCAGTCCGTCTCCTGACTGTTATTGAAGTTGAACCTCCGTCTCTTGCTCCCAAACAAATTACTCCTGTGTGTTTGTCAATACGTTAAAGATAAGCCATAATCTCATTATCTAACATGCTTATTATCACAAAGCTTTGTTTAAATGCAAATGTGTGTCTCCAGTGAAACCACCACCTCCAGAACAAACGACTGACATCAAGTAAATCTGCATGTTTGAATGTTGTTTGGTCTTATCACGGCATCGTTTCTTTATCTGCAAAGCTGCTGAGCACTCTAAGTCCTCTGGGTCTTTTTTCTGCTGTCATTCAGCTTGATGTGCTTGTTTTGCCATTAGGGGTTACACCTTAAACAGGAGTCTCCGGCTCAACCAAACAGTGAGAAAAAGGGGGCCTCTATTAGCAGGAGACAATTAGCATCGGGCTATGTACACAGCTTAGGGAGACCTCTCCCTAAATATCTGAGCAGAGCACCTGTATTGACATTGGCAGAACACTTTACCTCAGTGTTCAGGTCCAGCTGAGAAAGAAAGCAAAGCAACTCAGTGTGCTCACCGTGGGCAGCTTCACTCGTAAATACCTGAGAGGAGCTCAGCAGAGGAGGGCAGGGTGTGTGTGTGTGTGTGTGTGTGTGCCAGTGTGTCACTGCGGACTCCACATAAAAGTGTTGCAAATGGATCCCATTAGCTGTTACAACACAGGGGAATTTCAAATATTTGAATACTGCTGGAAAATTGTTTTATTTACTTGAGCGTATAAAGAAGCCTCTCTTGACCTTGGCAGTAATGGCTCCAGGGCCACGGACATGGATTCAGAGATATTGAGGTCAAGAGTCAAAGTCTGAGAAATCCTCACCAAAATAAAATCTCTTCAGTTTAGTCTGACATGTTATCTATTGGGCTATGTTCAGTTTGTTGGATCAGAGCAGATTTTCCAAGGAAATTCCCTCCCTGCAGCTAAACTACTGAATATGAACTAATCTAATTCAATAGAAGATTAACTCCCTCAGAACTTTAAATGACTAATTTTGGAAACAAATACATCTGCATAACAATTTTAGATGGAGTTTTGGCCTCAATGAAAAACAAGAACGTAGAGTAAGGCTTTTGGCAATTCACAATTCTGCTGCTGTACATGTGGCCAAGATTTTTTCATTAATTTTTTCTTGGCATGAAATAATATAGTTCAAAATTTTGGGAGCAGTAACTTTGTGGAGTCTGTTGTTGCCAAGCAACTGCTACAAAAAGAAAATTTACAAATCTGCCAAGCAAATGACCCCACATAACGTAGCATATTGTATTTTTTTTCTTTGTTCTTCTTTTGTTGATATGTTAAGATAATTAGTCCTGTGGTTTTTCTCTGTAAGCTCACAGAAAATATTAAGGCTGTGTTTTAAAATGCTTGTAATACAGCCGGGCTAACTTTGGGTGCATGTGTGGGAGAGGCCTGCAGCTTTGACAACTAAAAATGAAAACTAGAAACACTGCATTGATAATCTGTTGTACTGTGTCTTTACAACATGGCTGAATCCACAGTCTGTAGAAGTGAGGCAAGCTTTTGCTACAAGCCCAGCTTCAAAATAAAAACATGAAACGTGTACGTTTGTCCACATGCCCACATGTAAACTGCTTTAAATATGAGATATTAACTACTTCTGAGGCTTTTGCTCAGATTTTATTCCTAACCTATGAACCTTAAAATGTATCATCTCGAACCCCTAAACCACCACTTTTTTATTCTTCAAAAAAGAAAAGTTTTATACATCAAGACTTTGCCATGAGCGTAAACTTTAAACCTGTCCACCCTAAACTGTTTCTTGGAGAGAGCACAGAGAAGTAAGTGACAAATTGAAACTTAAACTGCATGCCTCTTGGAAGAAAAAGGACGTGGGGACTGTAAAATGCTTGTTTTGTTCATGTGAAACTGCAAATTTCAGAGCTGTGGAGCTATGAAGGCAGTTTCCATGCCTTACTGAGTCATCACAATCTCATGGAAGATCTTTCTGTTTTGTTCTACATAGGATACAGTTCCTGGACATAGAGTATTTGCTTATGTGTTTTTTTTTCTCAAACTACCAAGAGCGTTTTTACAATCTACAAGATAATAAGATACAAACGTTTGAATAAGGTTTTATAATAGTTTTTAAATGAATCTACAACTTGGAGGGGGTAATTCAGTTTTATTCCACGGTCATCTTTTCTTACTTGTAAAGCTAGTTTATTTTGTTTTTCTTTGTTTCAATGGGACAACAACTTGATATGGATCATTTCTGGAAATGGTCATAAAAAAATGAGTTTCCTCTGAACATCACTGCTGTGTCTTGCTGAGAAAAAAAAGTGAGTCACCATTTCATGCAGCTTAGTTAGTGTTTGCCTTTAACTGGAAATAAGCCACACCATACAGCATTAGTGCACCTCCCACGTTCAGAACGCAGATGATCTTATTATCTGTCCACCGATAGCACGACTTATTGGACTTATTTAGGTTTTTACTGTAACCGCCCATTTAGGGAGGAATCCTATCTATCTATCTATCTATCTATCTATCTATCTATCTATCTATCTA